CCGAAAAGGCTAACTTTCTAACACGTCTGGAACGTAAAAAATGTTATCATTGTGGATTTATTCAACAGTTAAACAAGTAATAAGAGCAATCGTAAAATGTCACTCGGAACGCGTCTCATCAAACATACAGCGTAAATAGTGTGTATAAGGCCTAAGGTAGACACTTTCGTCATTAATCGAGGCGTCAACTGCCCTGTCTAAACACACCGCCCGGATAAAGAGTACAGTTAGTTGCCGCTACACAGCTACAATACAATGCCTTTCAGACTGTTTGTTCAAGTGACGAAATGCTTATAGACGTCTTTGTACAGGCAGGCAACCGCGGCTCTTATCATCTATATGATATATACATTCAAATCTCAATCTTAATGCACAGTCCAAAATCTTAAACTCCCATGAGTTTATTTGCGAGAAATTTATTTTTTACGTCAGTTTTCGACGAGTTGTTTGTTTTTAACTCTTATTTCGATGACTATAACGTTTATAATTGTTTTTAATACAGTTTTTTTATGGGAAGTGTTTGCGCGAGAGGCGTTTCCTTTCATAGAGGTCGGAGGCAGAATCACGATCGCGGGACCGTTCAATGAAGGCTGTATGTAACCATACCCAATTTTGAAAGTTTTTGTTGCGAGATAATTTACAATGGAGCCAATGTTTGCGTTCGCGGCATACTTTTATTAAGATCATTTTTTAATGAATTTCAATTAAATACCGTCCGTGTTAGTTAGTATAAACAATCTGGGAGGTAGATGGTGTACAGCAAGGTGTATCAAAAAGAGATTTTAATTTTTTTACTAAATTAAAACCCCTAAATGCCATACACACCTTTGTAATAACTCAAATACATTATTTTACAAATTGAAAGATACAACTACAGTCAAGTATTTTAAATTCAATTCTCATTCTGTTATTTTCATGTAATCTATTTAATAACCATGGATAGACTATAATCTCTGTATTAAACGTAATATTTGCAGATTACTGGCATAATTGTTTTCGAAAAGTTTTAAAAAGATTGGTGTTTACTAAATCCACTATCTAATCTTATTACTAAATGTACTATGATATAAATACAACACTATTACTCGTACTGCACAGATAGCGTAGTGGTTTAAACGGTCTCCACGCCGCTTACTACTACGCTGAATGTTGTGGGTCTGATCCCCACATGGGACGACACTTTGTGTAATCCACAAATTGTTGTTCTGAGTCTGGGTGTTTTTTTGTCCGTTTCATGTGTGTTTGTAAAGTTCCCCGCGACACAGGATTTATTCCTAGTGCGGGAGTTGTCTTACTAAGCGAAATAAAAAAAAAACATTTAAATTATGACGTTGCCTGTGGCTTTTCATACAGATACTTATTGCTTTAGTTTGCTTTTCATTCCTACTTCTTATGCTTGAGGGTTATTTAAAAGGCGTTAAAATATATGTTCTATCTCACTTTACTGATAAATATTACTCTTGTTTTGAATATTTAGTTTCACTTTATAGAAAGTACAAGCAGTACTAGCAACTGCATATTTAAACTTTTATCTATTTCCTTTATTTAATTAACTACATCAGTTGTTAATTAAATACTCGGTAATTTAGTTGCACTTATTCAGCAGTGTTCACGCTTCAAAACGTCAAACTTATTTCCATATTTGATATACCAATGCAAGTTTCTTTAAGAATTATAATAGTGTTTTTTTCGACATACGCAAATCCCTGACATTATAATAAATATGAAATATAGGTATCGGAATGAAAATGACTAAAAACTGGTTTAACTGACACTATTTTCTAATTTACACCTTCAAGTATTTTTGTTTTAATTCAAATGTATATTTGTCCATCCTTAAAATAAAAACTAAGTCATCAAAATTGGGAATATAACAATTCTATTTTTTCTTGTCGACATATGGTTCTCCCTATATTCTAAAACAATTATGTTGCCAATTATCAGTTCGTTTTTAAGCCACTTGAACAGCGAAAGTTTTACTATGAGTGTGACATTGACTAAACGAAATAATGACGTGTTATTTACATATTCCATCCCCAGTGACACTCAACATGTAGTTATGTTCAGTGTCACTGTTCGCTGATAGTGACGAGCTAATCGCTAAGACATGTCCTTATTTTGATATTTACAACATTGACAGCAAAAGTGGTTATGTAAGAGAATGTCAAAAATTTGTTCGGTGGGTGATAAAAAATAAATTAACGTAGGTAGATAAATAGATACATAAATGTAAGTGTGGAACAAGAAACAGTTCGGCACCAGGGAACTTCGTTTTTGATAAAGAAAGAAGAAAAAGAAGCAAATATTCTTTCAATAGGGTTATAGTAGTTTTATAAACGGCATTAGTTACTGTGTAATCCTCTATAATTTCTTTAATCCATACTTATTGTAATATAAACTTACTTTTACAGTAAGTTTGTTACGGTTTCACGCCTAAATCACCAATGTCAAAAATTCTTTCACCAAAGGAAAGCTACATTATCAGCAAGTAAAATAGGCTACCGCGAAATCCGAGATACACGCAAAAGCTAGTATACCAATAAAAAAGATTGCTATCTATCATCACTCTATATACGCATTTTTTTCAGCAGCAGTTCAAGTCTAGTAACTCATTTTTTTACAACAAAAAGAAGTGTAATCTAAATAAGTTAACTCCCAATAATTTATAGTACTTTTTTAATTTTAGAAATCTTTATTCCTTAAATAAACATAATGGTTTTGTAAAAAATAAATATAAAATATTTTAGATACAACAAAATCTACCCTAATATCAGCGTTCTCAGAACTTCATTTATGAATGGTTTTTATGACATCATTTTATTACAGTTCCCGTAACTGTCCATAGCTACAGTTACATTGCTTTTTTTTAATATAATATATTTTTATGTTGTGTAGTGTCCTTGGACAAATTTAATCAAAACCGTGTAACAACTGACACCAAATAAAATAGTGTAAGACACCTGTCTACCTAGTCACCTAATTATGTATGTCATATTTTATAGTGTGAACGAAAAAAATGAATCCGACGCGGAACTAACAGGAGGCAGAAACGGCTCGCAATATCAATGCTGCGTTTGGAGAGAAGACTGATAATGAATGCAACATATCTTTTGGTTTAAACGCTTTCGTAATGGAAACTTCGACTTGAAGAATGAACGACATGAAGACCCAGGTACAAAACGCTGAATTGAAGGAGATGGTGGAAGCCGATCCGAGTCAAACTACCCAGGAATTAGCAGCATGGTTTAACGTGACCCTACTTATAATATTGGCTCATTTGCATCAAATTAATAAGCAAAAAAAAATGAATAATGGGTGCCTTCCGCAGAAAGAAATGCAGGTTGAAATTTGTGTTGCCTTATTGAATCGGTACAGAAATACACCGCAACAGTGCCCTAAAGCAAAGCTTACCCATAAAAAGGTAATGGTAATGGTAATTGGTCTTCATGGTGTTATCCACTATAGCTTTCTCAGGTCTGGTCAGGCAATAACAGCAGATGTTTACTTTGCCGAACCTCGAACAATGATGGTGAAACTGGTAGTGAAACAGCCCCGACTCGTGAATCGATCTACACCATTATTGTTCCATGATAACGCAAGACCTCACACTTGGCAGATCTTGCTCCTACGGACTACCATTTTTTTCCGTTGAGAAATTTGAAATGAAATTCCGTTTAGAGGGCAGCAATGTATAGATAATGACGGCAAATATCTTTAAAAAAAGCGAGTTTCAATTTTTCATACTTTAACCTCTAATACTTATGAGGTGAACAGGCACTAAATATGTCCAAAGCATTTACTTGTACTCTATGAACTAGAGGAGATCCGTATACAGTAGAACGTAACAACATCTCGATGGACATAAGCTCAGACATAAGATGGACATAAGATGGCATGAACTCTGCAATTTCCTTGCATATTCAAGCGATGTTTTGCTGCAATTGCATAACTGTTACACTATCATAACTGCGTAGTAACTTACATGATACCAATTCCAGTAACTACGTGCATATGTAACCTAGGTAACTGTTATTGAATTATTATTGATGAAGCGGTGCTTCATGAGTTCTATCAGACAAATTACTTCAAGTTTAAGATGGCAGCCACTTTGGAAAAAGTTGCATTGTGTGTAGAAATACAATGGATAAATCGATTAGCCATTTTATGTTTTTTACAACATGCTATGACAGAGTTATTACTATTGTTTCTGCGAACTAGTTATTATACTGTTGTTTTAATTTTTTTCTCATGATAATATTACTAATTCATTTCTTTGTTTTAATTTATTCACTTCACTTCGTAGCTGATTGTTGCTGATGTAGAGCGCATGGTACACACGAACGAACATTTTGTGAAATATTTAACATATTTCTTAAGGAATTGCAGTTTTTAGACCGCTTAAATGTAGCTGTAATTTAGAATAACTGAGAAAATAATTATATTCGCAAACTACTGCACTAAGATCACTTGCAAAAAATGTGTACCTATTTTTTATATATTCATCAATTTTAGGAGGTTGCTAGTTCGCTTAATCACGTTACTCATCTCTAGGGCTCTGATGTTAGTGATAGATAGCTTAGAATCTGATCGTGACTATGTTTTTAAGTCACGACCAGTTTGGTTGTTGCCTCGTGCCTACCTGGGTACTATTATAAAAATCTCTTTTGAGATGTAGGGTAATTTAATGCTAAATAACTTTGAATATCAGACATTGACTAAATCCAAATATTAATTTAGTATTATTGAGTCCGTGTGGTGACTGATTAAGAATACGGAGTGTCACCACCCCAATTCATCCCATGGGTGTCGTAAGAGCTGACTAAGGGATCAAACTACGCAGGATAACATCACTAAAAAGAGAAGGAAAACTTAAAAGAAACCCTAAACCAACCCGTCTGGTTTAATTGGGCCAAAACCTCCTTTCTAAGGAGAGGCCTTTGTCCAACAGTGGACTATTAAAGGCTGTTGAAAATGATAATGATCAATTTATTAAAACTTACATGGCCTTGTGCATCCATGGTGTTGTTCGTCAGCTTGAGCTTGCTGAAGGACACAGGATTAGCAGTCCAGTGGTGTCCAGGAGCCGGGGAGTCAGGATGTAGCATAAGCCGTCGTGGAGATTGAGGCTCTGCGCCACCCGCTGCTGCCCAAGTACCTCCTGCCCATCGCCAGCGACGCCGTCCAACTAAGGACAGCTCGAGAAGAACACAATACTCTTCGCGAGGGTCCAGGCCAGCAAGGGAGATACGTAAAGACGGGAACATACGCCTGAAAATAAAACAATATTTTAGTGTTTAATATTATTGTAGTGTTTTGTGAGCATGTATGTTTATCTATTTATTCTTTTAATAGCTTTTATTTAAATTATTTCTCTATTGTGATTAGATTATTAAGATTGACCACTTTTATTATTCTATTAGAATAATAATAATATTTTCGGACATCTGACACAACGCCATCTAATTTGAAACTAAGCAGAGCTTGTACTATGACAGCTTGACTGACTGATATAATACTTATATACTTCTTTTTCTGGAAAATACATACATATTATACATAGAAATCACCCAAACTCAGAAAAAAATATTTACAGATCGTACACATTTGGTCCGACCCGGGAATCGAACTCGGCACCTCAGCACAGCAGTCGCATACGCTACCACTACGCCACGAAGGTAGTCATAATAATTATTGGCTATGGCTACAGCCCAAATACGACTAGACTTACTTTTAACTTGGCATAGCCAATTAATACAGTCAACACCTATAGGTATTCTAAATTACAAAAAAATTATAACATAGATTTTAACTACCCAAACTTAGAATGGCCAAGGGTAACTAGTTATATTGTAGCACTCGGATCGATAACCAGACACTTGAAAGTAATACAGCCGTTTATTACTAACTTTATTATTTCATAAATAATGTCTACATACAATTTATGATTCTACTTGCCCCACACACAAACAGCTGCCGTAATAGTAGTTAAGGAAGTAATTTATTCCTAATTCCGCGGGTAAGTAAACATCAAGGCTAGTTTGTAGCTGGATAAATAACACCATTTTGAAATAGTATGGACGCTAATATACATACAGAAGTAATCTCTAACTAAAAAATACTTTCAAACTAAACTAAACAACTAACTTGTTATACTAATTAAAGAACAATATGTCTGAAAAGTTTGACTGCGATACAAAATCATTTAAAATTAATTCATTTTACTTAGTGATTTCATATGCAAAACTTGAATTAAACTGAATAAATACAGAAATCTTGTAATGGAAATAAACTCATAATATTGTAATCAATCAGTTGCACTATTATATCATTTCCTCAGATGAGTTCAGTGAAACTAGGTATCACTGTCTAGTATCATGTCATTGGATTAACATAAACCATTAATTAACAGTGGAAAAATTAAGTGTCATGCGAATCACTAAAGTACTCCCTTTAAACTGTTTGTTGTTTTTAATTTTGTCGTGTAGTATAGCTGTGATAGTGATAAAAACTGCACTTAGTCATCTGCTGTGTGTAACACGGACGTGCAACTTCATTTTAAATTTAAATTTTTATATATTGTCGCTGATGTTTTATATTAAAGTACCTTCTGGGAGGCTCCTGATAACTAATCCTAAGTATTCCTTTAATCAAATACATCTAAGTAGATGTTAGTTGTTGGTAAATATAACTAAAGGCTAGTAGTAGTACATCAATGTAACTAAAGGCTAATTTCTAGCAGTCACACACTATATTCGAATTCATTTGAACAAAGAAGGTGATAACGAAATGACTATGACAATTCGAACGGTAGGAGTTTTACTGTCATATGGTTTTATCAAGTTTATAAAAATGTGATAGGGGTAAATGTGTCGACCAACGAGGCCTTTTGGCACCCGTTTGTATCGACTATAAAGGCCGTGTGTCATAAACCGAGAGACTTGTGGCGCCGCGGCTATCGGTGACCGCCGCGGTGTATCCACGTTCTTAATGTAATTATGGCGGTCAGAGTGATTGTGCCTACCGCGGCGTTGGTTAATCTGTGAAGCAGAATTATAGAGAAGAGCTCAGGTATTTGAGATTATAAAAGCCGTGTGTTGGTTTTTTACGAATAATGATTTTGTAAAGTTTTACATAAATGATTTTAAATGAACACCCTGTATTGGCTTTTCTATTACTATGTGTCACAGCGTATCAAATGAGCTTTCAATTGAAATAAAACTCAAAAGGATTGTCTTATTGTGTCTTGCTTAGATGTAAATATCAAACAGTTATCCTTTTAAAGATTGAAATAATAAGATATACATAGTCTCTGTTGTCCAGCCAAAAGCTTATTAATTTATACCATAATTACTTGTTCTTTTGAAATGTAATTGCTTGTTTAGGTACGGTCATAAAAATATAAATGCTTATTAAAATTTGAAGTCAGTTCAAAAATAATTCTCAAATTACGTGCTAACTTGCCTGACCTATCATAGATAAAATCAAACAATACTGAGCGAAATTACAGTGAAGAGGACGTGTGAAATAAAACACTATACTGCTCTACATGGATTGCACGGACGGCGTAGTGGTTTAAGAGGTCAATTCGCAGCTTTCAACTGCTCTGCATGTTATAGGTTCGATCCCCACATGGAACAACACTTTTTGTGAACCTCCAATTATTGTTCTGAGTTTAGGTGTTTTTTGTGTCCGTTTCATGAATGTTTGTAAAGACATAGGATATAAAACCATTGCGAGAGTTGTCTTTAAAAAAAAAAGACAACTACTTACTTTACATTTCTAGACTATCTGAAATATTTATACAAAGATTAGATAATACTAATTGTATACCTAAATAAAACTCATGCAATTTATTCCACGTTCCAAGTATCTTAGAATTTTAATAAAGTACATGCTTATACTACCTACCTACCAATATAATTCATAACTCATCAATAAAGTATCATACAGTAATAATAAGGGAACCGAAATCAATTCGCGTATCAGCGTCGGCATGTGATCATGATCAGTCATAATAGCGTCTGTTATCAGGGCCCTCTGCGGCTCACCGCGCGGGCCGCCAGGAGACTCGGCCACTAATGCAGCCGCCGATAACGCGCCGACAGAAGCTCAATTAACAACAAACTAAATTAGCCTCCATTTAAAGTTTACGATCTCCGCTACCGCCTTACGTGCGCGACATCGGTACGGACAGAACAACAGACGGTACTTGTTTGATCGTAAAGAACACTAGGTAGGGCTGAAACTTTATAATTGCCGTAACATTGGACGGCGATTTAGGAACGTCTGGATTCTAATAAAATATGGCTTAAACAAAAAATATTCCCCGCTCACCTTAAAAAGGAAACCTAACGGTCACCATAACATTCTGTGGGATCATAACATTCATTTAACACTCTCATGATTCTTATGATATAACTAACTAATGTAATAATAACTAAGTAATGCGGATTAGACCTGGAAATACTTATACAACTGATACTGTAATGCATTCTCGTACACTACCAGGTAACTATACAATATATATAATAAATTGTGAAATTTAAAATCGTGCTTATTACTTAACATTGTTTTAGATTAAAACCCCTTGAAGATGATTTTAGGCATATTACACAAAGACTGAATACAATTAAACTGCTACTAATAAGGGCCTACAATTATGGAATTAAATATCATCATCAGTTTATACGGAACCCATTGTATTATAAATTAATTAAAAATAACCGCGACACATGCAAAAGTGTTATTAAAAAAATAACACAAGTAGGTAACTCGGATTGCTTGGAATCAAATGATAACAGGGATAAATAAATGCACATAATGCAAACATATCTTGAAAGAGTAGAATGTTGTTCGAACAATAATTCATAAAGGTGAAACAAAGTTTAGCCTTAAATGCCCGGTTCACACGCGCTCAAAAAAACTTGTCTGCTTTATTTTAAATATACGTAATACGTCGAGGACAACGTCAATTAAAGAAGTAATGTGTATCGGATACACCAACACACTCTCAGCCCACACGAGTGTCTAAACGTCACTAAAACGCTACATAATTTTAAATCATTCATAAAATATGTAAACGAAAAATAATGACAAGGAATTAAGACGCCGTCATATATAAAATCATTTGCAACTGATTAATAGGCTATTTTGTTCTCTAATTTACTAATGTGGGGAGGTTTAGTTCGGACTTCTCATGAGCAACCAACTCAAGTTACAGACATGCGATTTTGGCCTGGTCAAACTGGTGGATTTGAACTTCAATAAATCTGATAGAGGATTCTAGAATTTAGACGTACTTACTACTTAAGCACTTCTAAATTGAACAAAAAATCAAATAACTCATTCGTTGTTTACATTGATTACACGAGCACAGTGTTGAACAAATATCAACTACAGTCGAAGTTCAAATACGAACGTGAGTAACTATGTAGTCGCGGTGTGTGTTGACTGTACGCTGACAAATCCCTTCACCCGGCTACCGTTCGTAAGATGTCTCTTATCAGCTACAGTCCACTTATCGAGTCGTTTGAATGCTGCGCCCACGCCGACTAAAAGGTGACGATTCACGCGCAAAATGTAATGAAAATTCACTGTCCGCACCCACCATCTGAATCTCATTTCCCTGAGTGTGTGAGTAATAAAATGAACTACAAGAAGATGTGAGGATGATCTTAAGTACAGTGGAGTAACAGAAATATTTTTAAAAAGTTAAAACACCGACACACACATTTTCTTTACTCCATAAAGAACCAAATATTTTTGGTTTTAGGTTGTTTTGTATTTAAAAAATTTGTGTAATTTACGTCTCTATTTTAGTTTAATACAAGGTAATATTATGTTACTTTTCTCTGCACTTTTCTACTTCAATAAGAACGCAACCTGTAGGTCAGATTGTGAACCATTTAAATTTGATAGCCATGATGACCATTTGAACGAGGAGTCGTGTCAAGCCTTTTATTTTAAGTGTTTTATGTTACTGAGTTTAGTTTACGATACAATTTAAAGGAGAATGAATGCAAATGAAATAAATATAATAAAAAAACGGGCCGCCATAAAAGCCCCTCGAGAGCGTTAAGCTGCGGAGCCTTGACGATGGGAAGGCGACTTATGAACACAATGGGACCACCAGAATAGCGTTGAATAAACTTTAGAGTGGGTCGTAAATCGGTAACAACTTGCCAATTGCCACACGGAGGCGCTAACAACAAGGAAAGAAACTGTCATATCCGCTCTAGCATCCGTACTCGAAATGTTTAAACGGCCCG